GATTCAGCTGGAATTTCCCATCCCCACTAGCATTCCTCAGTCTCTATCTACTTCCACTCATCTATGCTATCCTGGTCTGACTGGGGATAGTGCTGGTCAGGGGCATCAGGAGACAAGGATTGGGCCCAGTGCCCTTAGCAATGAGTCACTTAACCGCAGCCCAGCCTTGAGACCGCAGATAGAGGAAGAAATACAAGTGGTCTGAGAAGGACTAGTGGGGTGTAACTGTTTCTCAGAGAGCCCCTCCTGAGGCCTGCTCCATTGCAGAGATCCCACACCCCACCCAGGGTGAGTCCATTCAGGGGACTCATACTGGGTGGGGGGTTGGATAAGGACAAGGGGCTTGGCTTCATGGAGTCTACATGGAGTGGGCAACTTGGGATGTTCAGAAACCTCCAAGGGCATCTGAGGTCCTGTACATAAGGTTAGAATCATGGACAGGGCAGTCCGTGGACAGAGTTCCCTTCCCTTAGCTACTGCTGTGAGTGCCTGCCCCACTGGTCACATTCCCTTTAATCTTCTTAGGTGTGCCAGCCACTAGTACAGACATCCCTGGAGGGCATTCTCTTACTTCCTGTCCCTTGGACCCCAAAGCAGATCTGCTCTTCTTATTCCCATCCCCAGAGTGTCCCCAAGACCAATGAGGAGGTCTGACCCTATTGGGCCCTCCTGACCATTCACTTTCCATCCTGAGGGTAGGATTGGTAGGGCACACCATCTTTCTTAACTTTCTCCTAATAGCGCTTCCATTTATTTTGTCCAGTTCTCTTTTGCTTTTTAATTTATTCGTGCAGTGATGGGAGATGATTCCATGGCCTCACATAAGAGGCAAGCATTCTACCACTGAGCTGTATCTCCAGGATTTTACAGAATTTGAAATTTCATTGATGACATTTCACACACACACACACACACACACACACACACATACACACACATGACACATACCTGGAGGCCTTTGCTTTTACACCATCTTTTAAGTCTGTTAAAGTTACTAGCTTACTTGAGTCATTTACAGGTAACTATGGAAAATCTTTCTTTGGGTAAACTTAGAGCAAAGTGCAAAATAATAACTCTAGTTATCCTTTTGTTAAGATCCTCAGGTCGCTTATGAGCTTTAGAGCTTGAAGCTTCTTATTGCTTCCATCTTCAGGAGTTTTTTCCTCAAAATTGTTCGTTTTTTTGGTTTACAATACTATCAATAGTGGTTTCTCATGGACATAATTCCAACACCACACGCATCTCCAGTATTATTTTGTCCATATTTCTGAGCCTTGTACCCCAAAACCTAACTTTCTTGCCACAGCTTGCATTTCAAGTCACACAGATTAATGTTTGGTGTCCAAGTAGTGGTGAGGGGGAAGAGAAATGGGGTGTATCATCCTAACCCCACTCTTCTCTGGCTCTTCTCTGACTTAGATGATCAAAAGAAGCTTGAGATGTCTCCTTGCTTCTCGAGTATTCTTTCTCAGAAGCCATTCTTTTCCTCCTTTTCTCTTCGCTTCTTTGTTCCCCAGGAATATTGCGCTTAATGATAGTCCTAGATGGAGTAGCCACTGTTTCTTGTCTTTTTCCCTGAAAGGAAGAAAGCACCTGTAGGAATCTGGGCTTCTTTGGGGAGGCTAAACAAGGAGGTACTAGCTACAGACATGAACTTGAAAATTTTACAGTAATAGCTTGTTCCTTGTTTCCTTAAGAGCCAAATGAGTAATCCTGTCAAATAAGCCTTTCCTTAAGGTCATTCCAGGAACAGGCATCTTTTTCACTGTGGACTGCTGTCACCAAGCCTCCTGGAATCCTGTTTTTAGGACTGGTTGATGGGAAAGACAGTGATTCTTTATATGCAGGTCACTGGGGATCTTGATAAGGTCCATGTTCAGATTCTGGTACCTGAAACAAGGCCTGAGAGTTTCTTACAGTTTCTCCCAGGTGGTGTGAGGCTGCTGGCCAAGCATTGTCTTGGGAGAGAGCAGATGGTGGTGGAGAGGGCAGTGGGCGCTGGGAGTGCATGTGGCCTCCAGTGTCAAGTCTGGAAATGGCAAACTTCCTGCTCAGGCCCCATTGGCTAGGACCCATCTGCCTGGCCCCATCACACTGTAAAAGAAGGCTGGGGAGTGGCCAAGCTGTGTGGACAAGCAGCGTAGGACAAATAAGTGTTCATCAACCACTAACTGTGCTACATGGCAGGTTGATGGTTGGCCAAGAGCTTGTACAATTCAGCCGCCAGGATATTGGCAGCATCACCTCCCAACAGTTGCAGGAGAGCAACAAGATGGCTAGAGGATGCAAGACAGCGAGCATCCTTGGTCTCATAGTAGTGGATGGAGATTACCCATCTCCACCGTTTCACTGTGCCGCCTTATCACCAAAGCTAGGAGATACCATGCTGAGGGACAGGCTCCTGAGCTGATGAAGGACAACTTCCAGTATATCTCTGCTGTAGCCTATGAGAAGCCTGGTTTGAATGGAAGGGAGGATTGGAAATGTGCAGGGGGTGTTCATAAGAATCAGTGGTGAGAAAGCCAGAAATCATTTCTCAGGCTGCCTTTTGTACCCTGAGTTGTACTTCACCTTGGTGGCAACTGTACCCCTCCTGTTTGGGGCTTGTCTGGCACTTCTCATCTGTCCCAGGTAAACCATCTGTAACCCTATGGAATGTTGATCAGTGGATATATATGGCCTTGGGCACTGGCTCAGTTTTCTCTTGACAGCTCAGTTTCTTTTGTGGTGTCTCCTTTATTGCTGCTTCAGTAGGAGGTTGTGATTGTTGGAGATCACATGACAGAGAATATCCTTCCACTTGTCCTTTTTACTACCAGGGCATAGAATAGAACATTCCACTCTCTCAGGACTACAGGAAAGACACCATTTTTGTCCACTTTCACTGATTCCAGGATGGTTGGTGAGTGGTGAGTGAATTCTATAGCAGGGAAAAGTCTAATGACCTTGATTCGTGTTTTCTTCTATCTTTGGCACCTTGATTCCTGTTGGAATGATTTCTTCCTTACTTACCCATTTCCACCACTCGATGACCTTAAATGGTTATTTAAGAGTAGCTCTGCTTCTCAATATCTTTATGGGGTTTATTTGTTTGGAGGGCCATACTGGTGATCAGGACTAACTGCTGGCTCTAAGTTCAGGGATCACTCCTATCAGTGCTCAGGAAATCACCTGTGGTATTGCGGATTGAATCCAGGTTAGCTGTGTGCAAAATAAGTGCCTTATCCAGTATCTTGGTGGAATTTGAGAGAGGGATGTCTTAAAAATGCAGTTGCTCTGTATGCTGGCTGAGAGAGGAAAGTTCTAGAAGCCTAAGTTGGTTTCAAATCCAAGTTACTTTCTCTAATCCTGCATTGTGAACAATAAGTTTCTGGAGAGTTTGCTGGCTCCATTATTTTCCTGCTTCTATTTTAAAAGTGATTCCCATGACTGACAGGCTGTGAATGATTAGTACCCCCTCGAACCCTAACAAGCTATGAATTGTGCAGCACTTATTAGCTGGAAGCTGTTAGTCTTTTTGATATTCAGGTAAAATAATGAGACTCCTTATAGCTATTGAAGTGGCTCATTTTGGTTGAAGATAAGTAGTCACAAGGTTTCATTCTAAATTGACAATTTTAGGGGTGAAAATAAGATTTCAGAGCCCCAGTGATTTTTTTTAGGTAGAAATATTCTTCTCGGAATCATCCATGAGTTTATCCATGGTGACATATGAGGCAGTCAATTTGCTAGAATCATAGGACTTTTACTTTACAAAGTTAATCCATTTCTTGATTCACAATCAGTTGATTGTGAAATTTCCTTTGACTTTTCCTGTCTTTGTTCTTGAGATAGTCCTTAGAAATTGCTGGACTCTGGGTTTTGTCCACCCTCTGTAGTTATGGTAGGTGGATTCCTGTATCTCTGGGAGGGTGGAGCCATGCTACAGAGACTGAGGGATGGACAGCCCCCGGAACTGATCCAGGCCTTCTGTTTTCACCCAGCTCTTCCTGTGGTCTGAGCTCCCTATTCCAGCTGTACATCTTCCAGCTGCTTCCCATGTTGCTGAGGCATCTCTCTTGTTCCCTTGAGTAGAGTCTGGTTGTTTTTTTTATATTTTTATTAGTGAAACACCATGAGGTACAGTTGTAGACTTACACATTTTTGTGCTTGGGTTTCAGTTATACAATGATCAAGTACCCATTCCTCCACCAGTTCCCATTTTCCACCACCACTGATCCCAGTATCCCTCCTATCCCCATCCCCCCCCCCCCAACCCACCCTGCCTCTGTGGCAAGGCATTCCCTTTTGTTCTCTCTCTCCTTTTGGGTGTTGTGGTTTGCAAAAGAGGCATTGAGTGGCAATCTTGTTCAGTGTATAGTCTACTTTCAGCATGCTTCTCCCATCCTGGGAGGATCCTTCCAACACCCTTTATGTGGTGCTCCCTTCTCTATCTGAGCTCCCTTTCCCCCTGGCATGTGTGGCTGACCTCCTAGCCATGGAGCAAAATTCCTGGTACTAATCTTGTCCACTCTTGGGTGTCAGTCTCCTATTTTGTTACTTTATGTTCGAGTAGGGTCTGTTTTTTTCCATGTTCTTTGAATGCATGATTCCAAGCTATGTAGGTAGAAATGCCACCTCTCGTGTTGCAGTTATCAAGATAGCCCACGTTGCACAAAGTTCTTTCTCCCCTTCTCCCCCATTAACTCAGTTCCTGGGATCCTACTGCCTATTTCCTTGAGGAGCTGCGGTATGAAAGATTTCTCCTGTAAGGATTGCTGGCCACTCTGTAGAAACACTGCGTGTTAGGGCTACCTGAGCTTTCCAGCCCACTTCAGGAGATGTTTGAGCCCCCAGGTAGAGGAGGCGATGCTTGGGAGGCAGAGGGCGGAAAAGCAGCTCCCTCCAGTGAACTGGAACCTCCTGGAGGGTCGTGATTTTGGCCATTGTTTGAGTGTGATTGATTTTTTACAGGATATTTTCTTTCTCTCTCCTTTCTGCTCCTGTGCATGGGTTTCCAGGTTCCTTCATGATGGTGAACAGTTCCGGAAGGGCCTCGGGCCAGAAAGCCCACCTTCTCCTGCCCACCTTGAAGGAGAATGACACCCACTGCATCGACTTCCACTACTACTTCTCCAGCCGTGACAGGTCCAGTCCTGGGGCCTTGAATGTCTATGTAAAGGTCAACGGCGGACCCCAGGGGAACCCCGTGTGGAATGTGTCTGGGGTTGTCACCGAGGGCTGGGTGAAGGCAGAGCTTGCCATCAGCACTTTCTGGCCACACTTCTACCAGGTATGCTATTTCCCATGCTAGTTCATTTTCTTTAAAACGTGGATAGGTCTTGTATCCCTCTTGCCCTGCTAGAGTTTGTATGTGGAAAAGAACTTCATTTAGTTACTCCCTACCTCAACTTGTGTTTCCTCAACTTCTCTTCCGAGCCAGAACCCATAAGTTATTGACTCAGAAATCCTGGCCTGGAGGAAGGGGTGGATATGCCAGCAAACATTCACAATATAGGAGGAAGTCCCAGGGTGCTGAGGGGCAGAGACATTATATTCTTCTTAATAAAGTAATTTCTCTCAGCAATCTGAAAATGGGTCTACTGCTAGCCTTTTAAGGAGGAAAATTAAAGTTTTAGAGATATGCAGAGCCTCCAAAAAGACAATGTTGGGGAGAGAGATAGTTATTCTTCTATCTCATCTTCCTGTCTCCCTCCCTCTCCCTCTCCCTCTCCCTCTCCCTCTCCCTCTCCCTCTCCCTCTCCCTCTCCCTCTCCCTCTCCCTCCCTCCCTTTCTCTCTCTCTTTCTCTCTCTCTCTCTCTCTTTCCTCTCTTTTTTCTCTCTCCACCCTGGAAAACTCTGTGTTCACTCTCGTTCATTCTCTCTCTGTGTCTCTCTTTCTTGCTCCTCTTCTTCAGAACTCCCAAATAAAATCTGTTATACTTTAAAAAGAGAAAGGCAACTAACTCATGAAGAGCAGATAACATCTAGAGATTGTTTATAAGAACAAAGAAGTCATGACCAAACAGGAAAAGGGAAGTGTCTGAGTTGACTGTATGGTCACGCCATAGGTTGGAGGAGCAAGAGCAAGGTTTGGGCCAAAATGGAAATAAAGTTTCCAATTGACAGCCTGTTAAAGACAGTCTGTCAAGGAGGTATTCAGGGAACTGAGCCTGTAGGGGCCAGTAGGTCAGTCATGGAGATTTTGAAGAGCCAGGGAAGGAGATCACATTTATTCCCTAATGTGTGGTGGTGCCACTCACTCATTGCTGTTCAACACTTCCCTTGCACTTCCTGGTTGACTGAAGCTTTCTTGAACCATGATGAGATGCCAGGTTGCCACTGTGCTTTTTGGAGCCCTCTCCTGTGATCCCTCTGATCTGTGAACTACCTCCATACACATGGGAAGGGACCATGCACTGCAGATCACAGGAGGAAGCATATCTCCTACCATCTATGCTCCGAATGATGGGGATTTGTGTTTTTAAAAGGAACCTTTTTACTTTTAATTATTTTGGAATAGCAGAAGTGCCCAGATCTCCTAGCAGAATGTAGAGTCAGAGATGAAGTCCATGGTCTGGCACCTGTAAGGCATGAATTCTGTCCATTTAATCCCTAAAACAAAGGGGGTTTTGTTTGTTTGTTTCATTTTGTTGAATGTTTTTCAGACTTCACCCAGCAGTGCTCAAGGCTTTTTTACTCTCACTTGTACTCAAGGGTCACTCCTGGAGGGGCTCAGAAGACCGTATAGGGTGTCGGGGATCAAACATAGGTTAGACGCATGTAAGGCAAGTGACCTACCCACTGCATTTTATAAAACAAAAATTTTAAGACAGTGTTTCCATGACATAGAATAAGCTTTCAAAGACGTGTCAGACCTTAGTTAGCTGTTTGAAAGTAGATCACTATTGAAAGTCTTAAGTACAAGCAAGAAGCAGATCCAGCCTTTTGGAGTCAGTTTTCTAGAATCTGAAGTGGAAGAGGGGTCCAAGGATGGCAAGACCAGTGCCGGTCAACCTTGAAGTTCAGCTTCCAGGGGTTAGTCCTTTAGATGCTCCACATAAGCAACAATAGTATGCAAGGGTATGAATGCAGTTAAACTTGCAGAGTAAGTAGTGAGCCAGAAGTAGCCAAAGGCCACAGCTGGTTACCCCAGATAGAGGTAATCAAGCTGAGCTCCAGAAATTTGCAGTGAAGAGCAAGAGTATGAACATACTCTTGCTCATTGGCGAATGGGAGCAGAAACCAGGGACCCTGATTCCAGGAGTCTCAGTACCGAGGTGGGGAAGAGCCAGACCCTAGGCTCTAGGATTAGTAATCTTCTTGGTAAATTGGGGTCCCCAGAAGCATGCTGGATTCTGATTCCTAATTCCATGTTCCACCTTGAAAGGAACCATTTGGCCACTATGAGAATGTTTTGATCACTGGTTGCAGGATGTTAGCTGTGTCTTGGGGTCCTTTGATTTTGTAAAATGATGAGGGTACCAGGAATAGCTAAGATTTCTACCGTCACTCCAGTGACCCACCTTCCCAGAGCTTCACTGCCAGAAGGCCTGTCTGGAATTGGCTATGCAGCTCTGCCACCTGCTTTTTCTGAGCCAGATCCGATGAGCTCAGCACCCGCTTTCTTCGAGGGCTTCCCTCCCTCTTTTGCATCTGCCTGAGATTTAGGGCACCTATAACGCCTTTCCTGATGTCAGAGTGTCTCAGCTAATGCTGCCTCTTTATTCTCCCAATTCGATTCCATTGCACCCCACCTTCTGGCTAAGTGGCAAAAGCCTTTTTAGGCTGCTGACTTGTTGCTCCTGAATTTTCAGGGATCTGGACCCTGAGCCCCAGTGGTGGGTTGTGATGCCCAGTGCTTGTCCAGTATGGTTTGTTTTGCAGTGTGGACCTGAGGGTTTCTGGAATTTGGGGGTAGGAAGGGATTTCTCAGGGTGATGACTCTACCAAATTTTCCTGGCTCCTCCACACAAAGGCCTGCCATCTGTAATCTTTCAGAGACAAATTCCAGCTACCCTGCTAAAGTCTTCTCCTGGTATTGTCCTCCAGAGGCTGGATTATTGCTTTTGGAAACAGGCAGCTGGGTCTGGACTGTGGATGCAGGTCTGAGTGGCAGTGTGAGTTGGGTGTTGGGTCCCATGTGTCACATGGCTTCTTTCCCTTTCCAATAACCTCAGCAGCATCATACCACTCTATGTCTAGATATAGTTAGATCAGCAAGCCTCTGGCCTTATGTTCTCTCTCTTCCACCTCCCACATGCAATAAGACGCAAAACCACAGACTTCCTGGTGCTGTCTCTGATGCACCAGCCTCGTAGCCTATAGAGGCTCTGACTCCCAGAAGCTTGCATGACTTAGAAGCTAATTCTGGAAAGGCGTGCTCAGCACAGGCTCCTCCTGTCTCTTGTGCTGCCCTTAGCAGTTTGGCAGTGGGCAGAGGGCAGTAGAAGTATTCTCCAGTTCTGTGCTGGAGGTGGTTGATGCAAGGTTGTACCCATGACCTGCCCTTTGGTGTAAGTAGAAAGCAGAAAGTGGATTCTCGATCCTAATGCTCAAGTCTGGAGCCTTGGTCTGTGGCTGATTGTCTGGGATGTCCTGATATCCTCTCCTATACTTCTATTCTATCCTCACCACCACCAGCTCCCTTGGCTACCTCAACCTCACATGCCTCTTCTTTTCCATCTGCCTCCACTCGCATGGACCCAGAATGCATTCTGGATGTATCAGTTCCTGCCAGTCATCTCTATATCAAAGACTCTGTTGGGCCTAGGAACATAAGTGGAATCCTGGGGTGAAGGGTCCTAGGGGATAATCACACAGGAAAGTCCATTTATGTCTCTTTCTCCTCAGATCTGCTACCCTACCTTTCCATTTTCCTTCACCTCTGATACCATTCCCCAAAATGAGGCACAAATAATCATAACTCTGATGATGCACATGTCTGAAAGAAGTTTTAATCCCTCCCCAACCCCCCCCCACACTCTTTATTTAAATACCATGGCTTACAAAGTTGTGCATGGTGATTTGTAACAGGCATTCGGTATTCCAATACCAATCCCACCACTACTGTCACCTTCCCTCCACCTTTGTCTCCAATTTTCCCAACCACCCCTCATGCCTGCCCCCATAGTAGGCACACAATAATTTATTTTCTATTGCTCATTATCAATAAATTCTTATGGGAATGATAAAAAATATTTCCTTAGAATAAAAGTGGTGAAAATTATCGTATCTAATCATGGGGACACTAAGTCCTTGTCTGAGAGATTACTAATATGTTGATACAAGTTAAGCCTTCTGTGTTAATGTTTTTGTAAGTCCAGATTGGCTGGTTTCTACATTATATTCTATCCAATTGCTACTACTGGGTTTTCAGTATTGCAGAATTTGGAGATGTTGTGCAGCTGCATTTGCAGCCCTGCACTCCAGGAAATCAGAATTTTTAACTGGGCAGTCAGCTGGAGTTAAATTTTTAACTGGGTGGTGACTTGAGGTGTGGGTGTCACTGCTGGAGTTTACAGAAGTACATGAAGGTGACTCTGAGAAGGTCTGGCATTTTCAGTCATAGGAACCCGTGTACCTGAGGGTTTTGGCGGGTTAAGTTCTTTTTTAGGTGATGGATTCTGGCCTGAGACATGGCAGAGACTTTGGAGTGTGGGAGCAAGCTGCTGCTAGTGGTTTTTTTGAGTGGGCACTGCCCATTCCCCATCCCCCCCTGAGAGTACCCTGTATGTCTCAGCTGTGAACAGTTGAGGTGTCCAAGAAATTTTTGCAGCTAGTTGATCTATTCCGAGTTTTATTTATGAGTTTCTGGAACAAGGTTGGTAGATGAGCTTACATGTGATTTTTAAATTTTACGTAAAAAGTTTTATGGAGTAAGATTCTCTGGCTTGCAATATTAATCTTATTGTAAACCACATAATCTCAATCAATGAAAATTTTAGAAAATAAATTTCTTAGAAGACAGGCAGTAAAATGTAGACGATTATTATTATTATGGCCAGCACTCTTAATGAAAAGCCAGAATATTCTTTCCCTGGTTTCTTTCAGAATGTTACTCTCTCACAGTTGAGAAACTCAAGTCTTACCAACCCCAATGCTTTCTAAAAAAATCTCAAGAGGAATTCTGGTGAACAAAAGGTTCTCTTTCTTTGTTGCTGCAAAATACAGAATGGAAAAAAAGCAAACAAATGTATGTTTCATCGTCAAGCACCCATTCTCCTGCGACTAGCTTGTGCTCATTCATGGAACATTAAATAGACCAACTGTGATACAGGTTAGATATTGGG